TTTGGTTCCATTAATATCATTTTGTGTATAGAAAATATCTATAATATTTTCTAAATATTATTAGAAATATTTTCTATAGAAATATACAAGATTATTATTATCCCAAATTTTAATCTTTATATTTTATACTACTATAATCTTTACTAGCATAAAGATTGTGGTAGACTCTGGCGTTGTTCGTGTGTCAAAGTTGGAGACCGGACGCTTGAACGGTTACGTTTGCACTTTCAACGCTATTCCTACGACTTCTTCGTTTTTACCGCTTACGGAGAAAGGTATAAATTTCTTACTCACTATAAGTTTTAGTACGTGATTCTGGGCAAGATAATCATGTTAGGATGTTAAAATTGTTATATTCCGCTGCCTATCCTTGCATGGTTACCTTTCAGTGGTATCAGAGCCAACGTACAAAACTATAGTTTTACGTTTGACTTTTAAAATTTTAAAAGTCAAAGTTTTAACTTTGTAATTATGAAAATTCAAAAATTGGTAAAATGATTTTATTTAGTCTTGGAATAATTATTGGACTTAAATAAATCATTGAAAATGAATTTTAAATTTATTTGTTTTATTTCTACACGTAATATATATATAAATATATATATATTGATTTTTCGAAATATATATTTATATATATTGTAGAAATAGTAAATATAATTTTATTTGGACATAAAACATCATTTTATGATTGATAAAATTATATTGTAATTTTTGAATGCATTATTTCCTATTTTGAATTTATTGTATTTATTTAGGTGAAAACCGAAAAATAAATATGGAAAATTCAAAATGAACTTTATTAAACTTGGAAATATTATTTCTAAGTTGAATAAGGTTGTTGATAAATATATTGTTCAAAATAATATTAGTTAGTAATTAAATAAATATATATTTATATATGTACTCGGGTTTATTACCAAAATATTATATATATTTATATATTTTTATTTTAATTACATAATTGACTAATATATATTTTGGAAAGTTATATCTCAGTAAGAAAAAGAATTTTTTTCAAAATATTAAAATTTTGTAATTTAATATTTTCGAAATCAATTTAAATGGGTTTTTATAACTTATTGAGATTTAACTAATATATTTTGGAAATAATGATTTATAAATTTTGGAAATTTTATTTCCAGGTTTATAAATGTTGAAAATAATTACTGGAATTTGAAATTTAATTTTCATGATTTTTGCAAAATTGTTTCAAATTTTTAATGGCCTTTTGAATATAATTTTGCAAAAGGGCATTTTGGTCATTTGGAATATTCTGGATTTTTTTTTATGCTGGCAGAATATCCAGAGTATATAAAATGATTTTATAAAATTTTATTAGATTTATTTGGACATCTAATTTAATATTATGAGTTTTAGAAAATATTTACTGCCGTAGTATTTTCTTAGAACTGTCTGGGGTGAGCGCGGTTCACCCGGTGTATGTATATATCTCTATTGCTTGTGTGGATGTATGATATGCATGGTGGATGATTGTGGCTATAGTTTATTTGATTATAATACGGCCTGCGTGTCGTGCCTTATCTCTTAAACTTTTGTTGTAAATCTATTTCTCTCTCTTACCTCAACCGAGGATTCTTTTCTCACGTGGTGGTTTGAAGACGAAAAGATTTGAAGACCGTTTGGAGAAATCTAAAAGAATGGAGATAGCCCGAAGTCCAAGTGTCCGGAAGCCAGTGGGAGCTATCGTTTTATATTTCTTTTAGGGGCCACAATCATTACACGTTTATTTACTACGTTTTGTGAATGCATGTTGAATGTATGTTGAACGCTAGTAATGGACATGTGCGCGGCCATGTCGATAGGTGAGATCAAAATTATAAATCCCTCACGAATATTAAGTATGTTGCCTTCTGACGCCCGGCACCTATCCGGCTAATGTGCACTGTCATGTACTCAGCCTCAACAGAGCATAGTACGGTGTATGTTAAGCTAGTTACGGGAACTGCCATAGCGTGGTCGCTGTCGCACGTTGGGTTAGACTTAACTGAGTCTCGGTCAAATGGATGGACGACTCAGAGGCAGTAAGTTGGGGTCATCAATGACAAGTCGGATGATTTTACTCACTCATCCAGCCAGGAGTTGGATCTTTATGATTTAATTGGAACTCTGTTCCTAACCAAAGTAGTCTGCTTGTAAGACGTGCCTCAGCCAATTACAAGTATGGTGAAAAGGTGNATTAACGAGAAACGCATATCTAAGTTACATCGTTCTGGTGTACTTGATTCATTTGACTTCCAGTCATATGATGTATGTAAATCTTGTTTACTTGGTAAAATGACAAAGGCTCCATTCACCGGTCACGGTGAGAGGGCGAGTGACTTATTGGGCCTCATACACTCCGATGTCTGTGGTCCAATTAGCACTGTAGCTAGAGGTGGTTATTCTTACTTCGTTACATTTACTGATGACCTTAGTAGATATGGATATGTGTATCTCATGAAACACAAATCAGAATGCTTTGACTAATTCAAAGAATTCAAGAACGAAGTAGAAAAACAATTAGGCAAAAGTATTAAGACCCTCCGCTCGGATCGAGGAGGTGAATACTTAAGCCTGGAGTTTGATGACTATCTGAAAGAGCATGGGATCTTATCCCAACTCACTCCTCCGGGGACACCTCAGTTAAATGGAGTGTCTGAGAGGAGAAATCGGACTTTTCTAGACATGGTCCGGAGCATGATTAGTCTGACAAGATTGCCAGAATCATTTTGGGGATATGCATTGAAAACAGCAACACACACACTCAACAGAGTTCCATCTAAAGCTGTCGAGAGCACACCATACGAACTATGGCGTGGGAGAAAACCGAGTTTCTCGTACTTTAAGATTTGGGGCTGTAAAGCTTATGTAAAACGTCTCATGACGTCTAGTAAGTTGGAGCCTAAATCTGATAAAGTAATTTTTGTGGGATACCCCAAGGAAACTAGAGGGTATGAGTTCTATCATCCATCTGATAACAAAATTTTCGTTGCTCGGAATGGAACCTTCCTTGAGAAGGAGTTTCTTTCTGCTATCACTAGTGGGAGAAAGGTAGACCTCGAAGAAATTCGAGAACCACAAGAAGAAGTCCCGATAGTGTTGGAACCTGAGCAAAGAGATCAAGCAATTGAACCTAAAATTGCTCAAGATATACCACGTAGGTCAGACCGGATACGTAATCCTCCGGTCAGATATGGATTTCTCATGTCTGATGAAGGTGACGTCTTGTTGGTAGATCAAGGCGAACCAGAGACCTACCTCGAGGCAATTACATGCCCCGAATCCGATCTATGGCTCGAAGCCATGAAATCTGAAATGGAGTCTATGTACACAAACCAAGTCTGGACCTTGGTTGATGCGCCCGAAGGGGTAAAACCCATTGGATGCAAGTGGGTCTTCAAAAAGAAGACAGACGTAGACGGGAAGGTTCATACCTTCAAAGCTAGATTGGTAGCAAAAGGTTATAGACAAATCCACGGAATTGACTATGATGAAACCTTTTCTCCAGTTGTTATGCTGAAATCCATTCGGATAATGCTTGC